ACCAACAGCTAGGGCATTTCACTTGTATATGGAGTAGTAAGATCATCACCAACAGCTAGGGCATTTCACTTGTATATGGAGTAGTATGGCTACCACTAACAGCTAGGGCATTTCACTTGCATATGCAATAGTATGGCTACCACGAACAGCTAGGGCATTTCACTTGTATATGGAGTAGTAATGCCACCAAGAACAGCTAGGGCATTTCACTTGTATATGGAGTAGTAAAGCTACCACGAACAGCTAGGGCATTTCACTTCGAATATAATTTTTTATTTAAACCTTTTATTTTATTTAATTTGTACTATCAGTATCGGTTTATGTTTTAGTGGAAGAAGCTGTAAATTTGGTGTTATAAAGTCGTTGATTTTTGGTATTAAACTAGAGAAGTTATTAACACTATTTTATGACACTTATGCTTGTCTTGTCATATTATAAGTTGTATATTTTACTAAGTAGTGTCTTTAAAAAGTGTCACGAAACTCTGTCGTTTGAACTCTAATAAAATCGTCGTGAATGTTTGTTTTTTGTCCAGGTTCATCTTGTTTCTGAACACATTTGGTGTGACGATTACCTTGTTCGAAGCTTTTACCTCAAAAATCTTAAGACCTCTGAAACCCGGACTGTCACACAGTTCCACTTCTTGTCATGGCCCGAAAATGGCGTCCCAAGCTCTACCAAGGCTCTCTTGGAATTCAGAAGGTAATATTCTTGTTTCTCTCCTAATGACAAGTTGACCTTCATCCACGTTGCTTTAATTTAGAGAATAATAAAAAAAACTTGTTTCAAGAGACTTCAACGTTTACTTGTTCTTATAATCTTGATAATTTGTAAAATAATAATAATACATTGAATAATGTAAACACTACTGTGTATTATGATTAATGAAACCAGTTTTTGACATTAACTAATTCTTTGTTGACAAATGTTAAATCTTCGGTACCTCGGTAGGTTTTGTTTTCGGTTTCTAGTAGTCCCTAACGGCATTTTTATTTTTCCTTTCTTAACTGGTGATGGATACTTATTTTTCTCTTGTTTTCTCTCATTGCTAACTTTTATCTCCTAATAATGCACTTTTACTAACACCGTTTCTTCTCTAAATCATCTAATAACACCAAACTTTGGTAATGAATCATCCACGCTCAAGAGAAAGTTAAAAGCCTTTAGACCTTTCCTTCTTCTGGGACGTCCATTATGACCTCTTCATTTCGACCATCTGGACATCTCCAACTAACCAACCTTAATCGTCCATCATTTTTGTGTTTGGTGCAATTTTGTTGACATAATTGCATAGTCACAAAAGTGATGGATGGTGAAGGGACAACCCACCTTCCTGCTGCTGTTGTTACTAACCTAGCGCCCTCTAGCCAGTTAGCACCTTCTCTGTTTGTTTTTCTACATATAAGAACCCCTGGTGGATTTCAACTCTCCTGAAAGCTAAGGAGCCATCATCAAGATGTTTTCTAATATCTGGAATTGTAGAAAGCCTGTTTTTCATGGAATTTACGTGTGACATAAACATGTTTAATAATGTGTCACATTCCAGTCGTGTCTATTACATTACAACTTTACATAAAAATTATCACGTTTTAAATATGATTGGTCTTCATGACACAAGTGTTTTATCCTTTGATCGTTGTTAATAGATGTTTTGTTCTAAACTTAGAGTAAAGGCGAAATTCTTTGTTTTGTATTAAGATAGATTTAGAATATTCAAACACATAGATAATAAATTTAATGAGTGGTCATGGAGGTTTGTATCGAAGACTATGTTGTAACTGAGAGAGGTTTGAAGGAAACACAGTGTGTAAGTAAAGGAGACTTGAAGGAAAAAACGTTTTAATCAGGGAGGTCAATTAAAGGAAGCGCAGTGTATAAACAAATTTGAATTAAAAGCAGCGTATAAACAAAGGGTTGAATGAAGACACGGTGTTTGAATTAAAGGCAGTGTATAAACAAAGGGTTGAATGAAGACATGGTGTTTGAATTAAAGGCAGTGTATAAACAAAGGGTTGAATGAAGACACGGTGTTTGAATTAAAAGCAGTGTATAAACAAAGGGTTGAACGAAGACATGGTGTTTGAATTAAAAGCAGTGTATAAACAAAGGGTTGAAT